CTAACACTATAAATAATCAATTTTTACAATGAACCCTGCAAATCAAGTAATGTAACTAAGTCACCATCACAGTGCAAATCATCCATCCTAGGGTGGTAAGAAATTTACTATTAGTTTCCCTTATCTTTCAATTTTAGTGTCTTCAAACTTGAAAATCCCAAATTTTTAATTTCTCAAGAAGTCAGATCATGCTCATAGAAAATCCCAATTAATAAATTAAACCTATCAAAATGTTTTTAAATTAGTCAAGATTCATTTTTACCCCACAAAGGTCAAATGCAAGAGTCATACACCCACATGCAAACCCTATCCCTAATTTGTAAAAATACTTTAAAATTAGGCAGCAAAAAACTTACTTTATTTAAGATTTTGATCGGATGAAAATGTTTCCCTTGTTGCTAGAAGCACAATGATGTTCTTAGATCTAGAAAATGATAAGAATTAGGTGAGGAATTTTGAAAGAGAAGTATGAGAATTTTGGAGTTTGTAAAGATGGTTAATCTTTAGATATGAAGTTTGAAACGTAAGAGTTTTCTATTTAAACCATTTTTAATCTCAAAGGTAAAAACTTTAAACTTTACTCAATTAACCACCGTCTCTTTCTAAACTATTAAAGTCTCGGTCTTCACAAAATACTTATTAATTGAATTTTTTTAAGGGTAAAATTTTTATTTATTACATTAGAGTGAGCTTACACATGCATGAAAGGCATAATATTCAAGCAAGAGTGATATTAGATTTGTAGAAAGGTAAACTATATATAAATAATATATAAATATTTGTGTATTGCAATCAATCTTCTTTTGAAATTGTACAATACCTAGAACAAATAATTTTATTAGCTAACGATTATTTTATATGACTACCATATATTATTTTTGTGGATTTCTCTTATGACTAGTTCAACTTGATTGATAGTCAAATACTACAACAATAGGATCAAAATATCTGCCAATATAATTGTCTAGTATAAATTTTGATCAAACTATTTTCTTTTTTATATTGTCATCACTTTTTCGAGGTAAGTTAATCTTATACCTTCAATAACAATAATAGGTATATTGTCATTATGGAATAGTTTATTATCTTAAATTGTCGTTACTTTTATCTCTTTAATGGGCACACTCTCCACTCCCAACATCTCTTAGATCACAAATTGATTTTTCTATTTTTATTTTTTACGTTTTGTGCTTGTCAACTTAGACAAAAGATTGACTCGGGTATTTTTATCTCAAGGAACATACATGATTGTAAAATTCACAATCAAATGTCTCTCACTCTTAACTTTATTCAAATATTGTAAAAGATGATAATCTCAACTTAAAAGTTTCTTGTCACTTAACTTGTGACTGATTGGTCATTTCAAATGGCTAATTTGCTTAAGTCAAATTCATAGATGCTAGTAGGACTTCATATTTAGTTTGGTTATTCATAGCCTTGAGTTTGAAACTTAATAGTTACCCGTTAAAGACACCACCTAGTCCTTATAGGATTACTTCCATTGGTCTTTGGCCTATAACAATTTTGTGTACCAAGATCAAACTTATTATTTGATTGATTACATAAGTAAGTTATCTCTTTCATTTTGATATAAATGGGGAGTGAGTCAAACTTCTTTGGGCTTAAGGAATGCTTGCTCACATTTTTCATCCTTGCAAAGCAAGATTTTTTTATTTTAAGCATAAAAAAATGAGGGAATCTCCTGTCCTTTTCATTGAAAAGGAAACTAAATAAAAATTTATTGATTTAACTAACTATTGTATGTCTTTGTTAACTCAAATTTTGGGGACCACTATTTTTTTACTAAAAATGAGCTAAAATTGGTTCATTCACGACTTCTATTAAAAAAGGTTAAAGGTTCTACCATCGTACTTTTAAAGATAGTCTTGTATCTTCAAAATTTATTATAACTTTTATTCTTTTATTTAAGTTGCTCTTATATTTTTAGAGTTTCTTCAGTATATTGTTCGTATTTTCCCAAATTTTTTTCCTAAATTTTTTTGGGATAATTGTTCATTTATGAAACTTTTATATTTTGTTGTCACAAATCATTCATGATATACATTATTTGCTATAATGTGAAAGAATCTTTATTATTATACTCATACTTTATCATATTTCCATTCATCCTTTTATATTTATTTTTAAAAGAATATTTTAAAAAAATTGAGTACTAAAATGTTTTAGTCAAAGTTTCTAAAGTGTACTCTAAGACCTAAACCAAAACACTCAATATTCATTGTCTTGTTTTCTTGGTAGATTGCCTATTTATAAGTTAAAAATTTGTTCCACCTTACTTACGTTCCAACCATAATATCCATATTTGTTAAGAGACTACTCTAACTAGGTTTGAGCATCGGTCAGGTTTAAATCAATTTGACAAATCCGATCAAAATCGAAATTTGCATATTAAAATCCACATCCGACCATTTAATATATTGGATCAATTAGACATGGATTATATGGATTATGGGTTAATTTGGGTGGGTTGTTCACATTATATTTAAATTGAGTCAAAACTTCTATTTTTTTAAAAAGGTTGACTTTTAACTTTAATTTATTCAATTTAATTTAATTTGTCTAAATGAATGAACTAAATAAAGTTTATATAATTTTAATAATTATTTTTATAATATTTTGTAATTTTATAATTATTACTAAATTAAAAAAAATATACAAGACTAAATTTACATAAAGTTATAAAATTTTGCATTTCAATATATTTATAAACTCCAACAAATTCCTAATAATTTAATAGAGAATAAGTGATACTAACAAAAAAATTTGACTTCTAATCTTCTACTTTCGAAATAAAACAATTTTATATATTATCATAATATTAACCATGGTTAAATACAAATCTTTTATAAAAAATTCTTGTAAAATGTTCCTCACAATTACTTGTTCTCCGTTAGGATATGCTAACAAGAAAATAATGAGTTTTTGTTATATAAAAAATAGAATATCATAATTTGATCTTGCCAAACAAACACCAAAATAAAAAGGTTTTTTACGGTACTTATATTTTTGTCAGATTATAAAATAACTTAGTTAAAAAGATACAATGACATTTTTGTAAATAATAACGTAACTTTTATGTCAGACCTTATAAGGCCGACGTAAAAGTCATTTTACATTTTAGTTTCATCCAAGGTCACTTCCTCCTTACGCGCAAAGGTTTCAAATTGACAATGACAACAATGACTATTGCAGTACCTTCAAGGATATTTTTCAACAATGGTGAGCAGCAACAACACCTACATTGCGCCCCCTTTATGGTGGTTGACGTTTTTCTTCCATTGGATTCAACTTTTATAGCATTTTGTATATCTTTAAGCTTAGTATTTTACGTCTTTTCTTTTATATTCAAATTGAATTTGTGACTATTCTTTCTTGAGAATCTCAATTATGATATTGCATGAATGTATCCTTTAGTATTATTGAAATTAGACTATTATTGTTTGTGATTATTCGTTTATTTGTTTAAGTGCACTTACGGATTATATACTGTATTATTATGTTTTTAGGTTTTATTTGTTTAAATCCCATGTGTTTTTGCTTTTTGTATATTTTTTTGTTTAAATATGAATGCATGTTTGAACGTCTGGGAGTGACTAAAATTTATAAAGTAGGTAGTTATGAACCAAAGTTGAATGAATGTGCGTCGTATTAGTGAATAGTATAACAAGGGAATTGAGGAGATTTGCAATTTTTTTCGTAAAAATGGAAAACCTAAGAAAAGAACATATTACTGACCATGCATTCTTTGTTTGAATCAAATTCGTCACAAACTTGGGAATATACGTGACCACTTATTTGTCTATATTATTGTTAAGAGTTATACAATATAGACATGACATGGAGAAATATTAGACATCTCAACAACAACAAATTTGGAAGAATGGATGAAATGACAAATTAGAGGAGATGATATGTTATATTGGTGAAATTTTTTTTAGAAAAACACATGTGTATGATTCTTTGAAATCTTATTTTGAGCAACAATTGTACCCAGGATGCTGTTTTGAAGATTATCAACAGCTTTAAGATTTTTCAGTTTAAAAGCAAGAAATGGATGCACGGATAAATTTTTTTACCGAATTGTTGGAGTTGTTGAAGGAGATGTTTTCAAAAAATAACATATTACCTAATCGTAATTATGCGACAAAAAATATATTACGTCCACTGAGTTTAGAGTACAAAAAGATATACATGCATGACCTAATGATTGAATAGTGTACAAAAATGATTTTGCTACATTAAATATATGTCTAACATGTGGGTTGTCACTATTTAAAAACAAAGTTGATAGAAGTAGTGGTAAAAAAGAAACAAATGACCATGCTAAGATATTATGGTATTTGTTAATAATACCTATATTTATAAAATTATTTGTCATAAACGAAAATGAAAAAAAATTGACATGACAAGCATTAAATTATAAAATTAAAAAAGATATAAATTATAAAAAAGAAAAATAAATTTTTAGTTTACATCTAGAAAATGATTCAATCAAGATTAAAAATTAGATTTTATTTATTTATAATTTAATAATTAAAAATAATAGCAAAATAAATAATAATAAATTTCTAATTATTAAAATACCTTCTCACTCGTTTCCCTCATTGTAAAAAAAATACAAAATTTCAATGTTACGTTTATTATATATATATATATATATATATATATATATATATATATATATATATATATATATATTAATTGTTGACTGTCTATTAGTTTCCCATCCTGATTAGTTTGTCATATATTAGAAAATAATTTTGAATTTTTGTCGTTAGAGTATCAATATTAACATCAAACAAAAACGGTCTTTTTTAATGTGAGCAGACTTAAAAATTAGTTTAAGAATCCCGGGCTCTTGGGTGTTATCCTGACCCTACGATTATGGGGTGTTTGTTACTAGCTCATTCCCATTTCCAATCTTCAACACTCTGTTACTATAACCTAATCCTAATTTCTTATTTGTTTCTGCGTCTCTCATGAATTTCTTCACATCAATTTTCTCCTACTCCGACAATGCGCACCAGATCGAATTGCAAGAGGAAGCGAATCGCGATTCCTTGCCGCCCCAGCGCCGATCCGTTTCCTCCGGCGCGGGCGCCGGCGCGTGGGAAATCGGTGGTCTTTGGAAAACACTGAGCGCGAAATCGGAATCCATTATAGAGATATACCGTCGTGACCTGCAGGAATTCGGCACCGGTTTGAAGAAGGAGATTGAGGTGGCTCACGGTTCTCTAGGGACGGTGGGTCACGTCATCGACCAGTTCGGGAACACCGTGGCGGAAGGCACCGCTCACATCATATCTCATGGCAAGGACGCCATGGTCCTCGATTCTGAGTCCTGGAATAATGATAATACGAAAAACAAGCACGGTACGGAAAAGAAGAACTTCAATTCGAAGCGCTACAGTAGGTTTGACGCTCAGGTTGGGGCCATTCAGGTTGATGTTAGTAGTTACACCGAAGTGCCTGAGGATTTGGATGGGTATGAGAAGTGGAAATCGGGGTTTTCGTTGGAGGGGAAGAGAGAGGAAATGGAGGTGTTGCTAAGAGAGAATGAGGGTATGGAGAGTGTTTACAAGGGGGTTGTGCCTAATGTTGTTGACCGTGATACGTTTTGGTGTAGGTATTATTATAGAGTTTATAGGTTAAAGAAAGCTGAGGATGTGAGGGTCAGGCTCGTGAGGAGAATGACGAGGGAAGACGAGGAGTTGAGTTGGGATGTTGTTGAAGAAGATGAGGAGGAGGAGGATAATGAGAATAATGTGGAGAAAGAAGGATATTATACTGGAATAAAGAGATTGAATGTGGAACAGATGTATAAGTCTTGTGAGGAGGGGTCTAAGGAAGAAAAGAAAGGTAATTTATTGCAAAGCGAGGGAATCGGTGATAAGAAGGATGAGACTGTTGAAGAATCAAAGGTTGACAAGAGTAAAAAGGAGATGGATTATGGGAGCAAAAAAAGTGTGGACGAAGTGGATGACACTGATAACATGAATGATTCTGATAAGAAAGTGATTATGGAAAGGAAGGTTGATGATGGAAAAAATTCATTGGTTGCAAATAAGCACCCTGGGAATGAGAAGGAGGAGGAGTTTGAGTGGGATGAGATTGAGAATCTTAGTAGAATTGATGAAGAGAAGGCAACTCAGACAGGGAGCCCAACCAAAGTTGATTTGCGTAAGCGCCTCAGTACCGCACAAGAAGAAGAGGACTTGAGTTGGGACATTGAAGACGATGATGATTAGCCTACCAATGCTAAGGCTTAAAAAATGCGCTTCACTCTCATGACATTTATACTGTGCCTATGTACTAGCATAGCCTTTTTGCTTTTATATATGTATAAATTTCTTTAGGATTATCACTTTCACATTTTAAATGAATGAAAAACAGTTATGGTTATTGATATGTCTCATCTCCTTAATTTTCATCCTATGTTTTATACACGTATTGGGTGTTTGTCTCCTCCGTACTTATTAATTCTTTTATTTGATAACTTGTGAATGAAAAATAATTATGGGTCACTGACCAAAAAATTTGTGCCCATTTTTTAAATCAGCTGCTTCATGTAAGCAACAGTAACGCACATAAAAAAAAGAATCAATGATACCCATTCAACTCAGAGGTAATCAAATTATTTCATTCAAGAATATAAAAACATAGGAGAATAAGAAAACACAAAATATCAGACAATAAAAAAAGTGAATATTAGAGAGATGAAATCAACACCCTTTTAAACTCTATTACTAGGTCTTATAATCCTTCAACCACACATTCTCCTTCTTGGATAGTGTGATTCTCTTATTGTTCGTGTTATCATTTACGTGTTTCCTTTTCATTGACTTATTACTAATGGTATCCGACCCATTTTCTATTTGTATCCTCATTACATTATTCCCTCCATGAAAATCAATTTTGTCCCTAAGGTTGAAATAAGGGTAGGCCCGTACAATTACCATATTATTTTCTCAAGTGGCTTCTTCTGGGGATCCATTTTCTCATTAAAATAAAGATTGTTGTACCTGTTGCTCACCTAAAATTATTGTCCTGAACTTTAAAATAGTCACTAGTTAGTTGAATAAGAGGAGGAATCTCACTATCACAAATTGGCAATGGGATATATGACTGGTCGTGATATAACTTCAATTGCGAAATGTGAAAAACTAGAGGATGAATCTTCGCTAATGGGGGTAACTGAAGTTTGTAAGTCACCTTCCCAATTCGATCTATCACCTTAAAAGGACTAACGTATTGAAGACCTAATTTTTTATTTTTGCGCAAGGCCAATGAATATTGTCTATATGGCTGTAATTTCACTAGAACTAAGTCTCCAACCTGTAATTCCATCTCAAGGCGTTTTTTATTTGCATATTTCTTTTGAACTTGCTAAGCTCGCTGCAAATTAAACTTGAGCTTCTGTAGTATCTCATCCATGGATAATAATTATTCTTGACTAAGAGAGGGTCGTCAGCTTTAGGAACATATTTGAGTATCTTCAAGGGATCTCTCCCATACACAACTTTAAATGGAGTCATACTCGTGCTTGTGTGATATGATGTATTATACTAATATTCCGCCCATGACAACATCTTAGATCACTGCCTTGGTGCATTTATTAAGAATATCAAATTGGTCATCTGATTGGGAATGATAAGCGGATGACATCTTGAGTGTAACACCATTGAAATGCCACAAAAACTTCCAGAATTGACTAGTAAAAACTTTGTCTCTGTCCGATACTATGAATTTGGGTAATCCATGTAATTTGACTATGTTCTTGACAAATAGTTCAACCACTGATTTGTTAATGAAGTCCTATTTCATAGGAATAAAGTGGGCCGCCCTAGATAACCTATCAATAACGACACAAATTAAGGTGAAACCATGAGATATAGGAAGACCCGTAATGAAGTCCATGGCCAAGTCCTCCCAGATCTGGTATGGAATTTATAGTGGCTGGAGTAAGCCGACGAGCAGCGTAGTGGTGATCTTAGCTTGTTGACAAACTAAACACTGCTAAACATAGGTTTTGATATCGTGGGACATCCCTTTCCATTAGAATTGTGCGACAATTCTCCCCAACGTTCGAGAATCACCTGCATGTCCTCCTATGACTGAACTATGAAACAAGGGCAGTAACGCTGTGGTTTTCAGTGAATGTGTTGTGTTAGGGATTAATTGATTCTGCAGAGAACTCTTGGACCCATAAAATTTTTGTTGGACAGATAAATTTTCTTCAAATAATTTGACCAAGGACACACACCTCATTAAGGGTTTTGGGTCTTGGACTAGTACGTCACAACGAATATCTTGATGTTACCCTCCTACAAAACAGTCCAGGAGAGTCTTTGATGTAATAATCCCTTGAACATGATTTGCTAGGATTATGAATTTAACATAATAATCATGCACTGATCTTGGCTTTGTGAGCTTGAATAAATCTGGACGAGGGCATTCATAAGGTGAAGGCCCAAATTCCAATTCCAACAGTCTCATGAATGCAACCCAAGTAAAAAAAAAACATGATTGCAAGCTTGCATTTGAAACCATGGCACGACCTTTTTTTCCTAATGAAATGAGGCAATAAGTAAACGTTGATCATAAGGTGTTTTGTAGTAATAAAAAAATAGTTATGCCTTGAAGATCATTGTAGCACGTTAGAACCATCAAACTTAGGAAAATCCAGTTTGACGTTGCGAACTTGGAATGATGGAGAAGAAGATGAAACTCCGTGACCTGTATCTAGATTCTGCATCACTTTCGAAACTGAATCCGTAGAAGTTTCGAATGCTACGAAATGAGTAGAGTCGTCACCTTAACGTTCAAGAAGAGCAGCAAAAGGTCTTCAAATCCTTATCTGTCGCAACCACTATAAATACCAAGTGTTTCACGTTTACCATTGATTCCTTAATGCGAGTCAGCTCCCCTTGGAACTCTCCTTCAATCTAGTATTCTCTGCCATGAACTATAATGAAAGCATCAATGTAAGTATCTCCACTATGTAACCAATGTAACAATAACACAAATACAAAAAAAAAATTGAAACAACAATAGCAACACAATAAATAGGTAATCAAATTATTTCATTCAAAGGCTCATATCAGGCTAGAACACAAAAACATAAAGAATAAGGAAAAGTGATTCATACTATCATGCGCTTCTCTTGTTGTCCTTGTTATCATCCACGTGTTTCCCTCTCATTGACTTGTCACTAACACCAGTCTTTTTCCTTCACCACATAGTTTTAAGTTCTCTTTTTTTGTTTTAAGGTTTTGGTTAGCCGTTTCACGTAATAATGGACAATAAATCAAAAGTGAATATAAAAGTTGTTATTGAAAAATATAACGTTTGATGCGAGGAATGCATCCCTAATAGAAATGTATTTGTTCTATTAATTTTTATAACAGTGACATGAAACTAATATAATACTTCTTTAAATAAAACAAAAAGTAAGAAAATGAACTTGCAAATTTGATGCATATGGATGTGAGGATTTGGTTCCAGAATTATATAAATATTTGAAATTTTGGAAATAATATATTAATTCTGAGTAAGAACTTGGTAAATTTGAAATGTCTAGTATCAGATGGTTTACTGTTATAACTTACAGCGAATACATTAAAGATAAGATGTGTACTTTTATACGAGTTCGTTGAATATTAAAATATTTCACTACAAGAGTCCAACCCCTATACATTATAATGGCAAACTAAGTTGACGAACATAATTAGGCATGCTAACGATGATTTCATTTTGCGGTGGAGAGGAAAAAGGAAAACAAAGAATAAACAGAGTCCATCAAGAGGAGATATTACACAAAAGGGAGGAAGGGATACTACGTTCCCATCCCATTCTCCATTAGTAGTAATGTGCTTTTGATGACCTGAACCACTAATAGGCATCTGTCTTGAAGTAGCTAGTAGACACAAATTAAACCTTTAAAATGAAAATATAAATGACCATTCTTATAAAATTCTATCGGTTATATAATTCACATTCATCAAATTTGGAAGCTGTACTTGTCCAAATCTCTTAAGTTGATTGGAATCCGCAATAAACTACTGTGAATACTAGATTCTAAGTTATCTATCTAAAAGAGCAAGTAAAAGGAGAATGTGGTGAAAAAATGAATTAAACAAACTCTTCACCCCTGGGTTTGTTTGTACAACAAAATAAATACTCCACAGTTCAGATTAAATAACCGAGGCACGGAACCAACTCACATCTCTGTAAAACCCAAAGGCAGGTTCAAGACTCAACTATGCTTACCCTTCAACAGCAATACTGGGTTCAGAAGTAGCCTCTCCCAAGTGTGATTCAACTGGGGAAGGTAATTCCATTAGTCGTCCTTTTTGGGCACGCGGTGGTAGATGCCTTGCGTGTTTTCTCGGTGCTCCCTTCCAAGGCAAGAAAACCCCAGTTCCACCTCGGGGAAGTTTGCGAGAGTTCACTGCCATAGGGCGCATAGGGGGTAGCATAACCATTGGAGCACCAAATACTCCCCAGTTAGGCATCATATCCATTACCTCATAGCCACTTAGTGCTCCATTTGGCATAGTATATGGGCTAGTAATGCCAGGTTGCCAGAGAGCCATCGCAGTTGTCATGGTAGGAGTCTGTGATTGACATTGATTGGAGTCTGGCCTCACTCTAAAGAAGCTGATGCTCACCCTTCTGTTAGGGGATGGACACATTACGTGCCTTGCCATGTCAGCACTGTTTCCCCTCATCACTATAAGAGACCTGCATTATGTTCTTCATCTAATCACGTATTGTACAATATTGCATGTTATGGATCAAAAGAAATAATAATAATAATAATAATAATAATAATAATAATAATAATAATAATAATAATAATTATTGTTTGAGTAAAACACTAGAAATTGGAAACTAGCATCTATTTTCTAATACAACATCTACAGCCCCTGAAATACCAGTAAGCCACTTGTGGAGTCACTATATCCATTATCTGGCAATCCTTAACACCTTCAAAGCTTTCAGACCTTTCAATATAGAACTTAATACTTATTCAACAAGGAGAACTAAACCACTTAAAAGTTCAAACACATAATAATACCATATGAATGATAAAAAGATAAACGTGGAAAAATGTGTTTTCCTGGGATCAGAATGGAGACCTATAAAGAACCTTGTGCAAATGCTGAACCTGGTCTGCGATATGGCAATTGATATTACCAGGACCAAAAATATAGAAATTGTCCCCCAAAGTACCTATTACACAATAAAAAAAAAGGAAAAGGGAAGCAAGCTAACCAAATGCTAATTGAACATTTAGTTTCATCCTGTAAAAAGGTAACGTTGTTGCATAGCCTATTATTCATTTACATGTTGTCCAATAAAATGTTGAAGGTATTCTGCCTCTGTATCCAGAAATATGACTAGAATTAAAATAAACGGAAGTTGGAACCAGTAAGAGTGTAATTTCTTTAATATTTACCCCTCCTTCAATGAGAGCATTAGTGGCCCCTTGTAGTTCCCGTCATTTTCACTGACAAGGATACGCCCAAAAGCCATTGTTGACTCAGAGAGAAGAAGTGTGGATAGAGGTTGGTCCAAATGCGGTGGTTTCAGGAATGGTTGAGAAAATTCCTCCTACAATACAGATATTACTAGTTGATTACTCCCTTGCAGAAATGAAAGTTTAGAGTACCTTTCAGATATTAGACTAATGCAGGATAAGGGAAGTGACAAGGAAAACTCAAAGTGTGTACCTCTTCAAAAAAGTTGATGATACAACCATTTGGCCTTTTGTACTCTGGAATTAATTTCCATTGAATAAGGTGATCAATGACATCATGGAGAAGTGCAGGAATCGGCTCTATATTGCCTGTAAACAAAATAGCAATAACAAGCTGAATTTTGTAATTGATCCTATCCTTATAATTTAGAATGTTCTTTTACATCCGAATCGGATAAGAAGAACCAAATTACAGATTTGTTTAGGAAGACAAAGACTCAAATAATCAGATCTTCCTTTTAATATTTTCTTCTTACTTTTGGTATCGTCCTTTATCTGTCCAAATATCGGAACTCCCAACTGAATCAGCTCTCTCTTGTTTCCCTTCATCTGTTTGTTGAATAGTATAAAGGTTTCGCCTACATATTTATTCAAGAAGATTAGATTAGTAAAACATTGCCGCCAGCAGGACAACTTGCCTTAAGTCATTATGTGTGTCTAAACCTGTCTTGTGATTGGTCGTCACAAAAGTAAAAATAAAAAAATAAAAAAATACGATGAAGACATACAATCACGTCTGATGACTGTGTTAACAAATAAAATAAAAAGTTGATTACATGACTTGTACTTTATTGATTTATTAAATAATTTGAAGGAAAACAACACTATCCAAAATTAAACCTTCAAACTGCTGTGGTTTGTGATTGCAGATGAACAATACGTTTAAAACCTAAAATTAGCATGATATGAAGTACAACTTTAATCCTTTCACAAAGTTAGAAAATAACAAGTTAACAGTGATTTACCTGAGAGTTCCCCGTTCTGGCCAGCAGCATGAATATCATTCACAAAATCAGTCAGCTTGCAGATTTCTGATTCAGAAAAAACGTCCTCGTACAACTTCAATCCTTTCACAACATTCACCTGCTAATTGCAATCATCTGTCATTCAGCAATATCCAGTTGCTTCTTAATACAAAAACTATTGATACCAACTCTATGAATCCATGCTTCTTTATTAAAAAGAATGTATTGGCTATTGAGGTAATAAACTAAAGACTTGCCATATGTCCCTTTACGGGCTCCTTTGCTGTGAAACCCTTTGTCAGCTTTATCTGCGATGTACGTCCTTCACATTCTTCATGATTGGAACATATATTATTGTTCAGGACACTGGGTTGCATTTCCTGAGATCCTGCACGCCAGACCACAAAAAATCTATGCAACATTTAGCATTCAACAAAAGAGGAGGAATGGATTGACTTATCAAATTAAAGTGCAACAGATCTTCTTCCAAAGCAATATATTCACTATAGTATAGTTGATAGCGATAATTTATTTCACGCATATTGTGGTTAAATCTTACCTGCCTTTTGTTGATAATTAAAGGAGTGAAGCAGAGAGATTTCAACAAGGGTTACCAAATCCCAGACATTATCATAGTCACCATTAGATAAGATTGTTAAATTGAAATTTCACCATTTAAGAATTGTTTGTTCCATGTGATAGCTAAGAAACATTTGTCTTGCGTTAGTCCTTCCCCGGGACAACCAACACCAATGTTCCAAACAGAGTACAGTCCTTCCCCGGGACAACCAATACCAATGTTCCAAACAGAGTACAGTTAATGGTGACAAAATGGGCGGGGCATTGAAACAAATGAATGAATCATGGTAGCGCGTTGGGCTCCTCAACTTTTTATTTTTTATTTTATATTTGAATAACAATACACATAAAAACAAATTATTACACTACTTTTATATATATATATATATATATATATATATATATATATATATATATATATATATATATATCACTTCATTTATTTCATATTTTTGGTTCTCTATTGTACTTTATTTGAATGAAGAATTAAACAGGAAAAACAAAATACAAGAGATAGAAATAAAATAGAAAAAAAATATTTAAATAATAAGAATAAAAAAACTGAATTCTTAAATGGGAAAAAATATACAAAATTGTGTAAAATATATAGAATATTGATTAAATAAAATAAAATCTAACCAAAAAATAAATACAAGTTTCATATTATATTATTTCTTCACCTGAATTTTTTTATTTATTAAACTATTTATTTGTTCGTTATAAAAAAATGTTATTCAACTTCTCTCCTATTTCACAGAACTTGATGACTTTTTTTTCATCCTTTTTTTATTTATTTCTCAAACACCTATTAAATTTTAATACTTGTTTTTTTATGTTACTTCTTTTTCTCTTTTCCTTTATCCAACTATTTGTTATGGTATAAATTATAAGTATAGTGCATTTGTTTATATTTTAACCTGAAAATATCTTTTAATGCACCTACATGCACCAAACTAATTTGGACCCTGAGAAGTCCCTTCAATCAAACTTTGTCTATAAAAAAATAAAATAATGATAATAACATAAAATAGAAAAAATAAAAATAGGACCATTAAATTATTGTTTTATGATTAACCAAGGAGCTAAGAGATATTAAAAGGAAACTTTGACTACAAGGATCCAAGCAATGATGCACTTGAAATTATTGCAAAAGCAGTACGGGACAGAACATGTTTGGTTTTTTTTTTTTTTTTGTTATGCACATTTATAAATTATGTTCACCCTCTATTTACCTTCATTCATCGGATCCTTCACCAATCTAAAAGTTGACCCGCCAAGTTGGACCCATAAACGAAATTCAACACTCAGCAGGGTGTTTCATAGGGAATAACACCTCGTATGTCAAAGCTCAACTACCCAACCATTCAAACTCAAAACCACACGTGGTACGATACCATTAGATGGAACCCCTCACGTGACGTCAACAACAACAGCCATAATAATGCAACCGGCTTTGATAGTTCAACAGACTGTAATAAGCATCATCATTGCATACATCTTCAGAAGTCTCCCCAACTAACTAATGTTGAGGTATTCGCCCCTTCCCCCAGGGCACCAACTAACCATAACACCAAAGTTACATACCAAACTGTTTCCAGAAACACACAAGAAAAATGTTTTCATCAATGAAAAACAAAATATTCAAAGTTTTGAGAGAGGAATTAAAAAGTGCAATTGAAATTTGTATTTTTATATTAATTTTAATATTTCTTTTAATTTTCTCACCTTATAATAAATGATGAAGAATATAATAAAAAAACTATTTAATATTTCATTACGAATATTATAAAATAGCAATCAAAATTATATAAAAAGAAAACTAAGAGAAAGGGAATAATAAAAAGTTAACCATCAAAATGATACAGCAATTTTAATTATTATTTTTTATATTAGATGAAGTTTAAAATAAAGTATTACATAATTTATTTATTTATTTTCAAATAGACAATTAAAGTAACAGGATTAGACCAGAATAAATAAATAAGATAATAATAAATATTTTCAAGTTGTTAAATTAGTCGTTAGGAGAAATCTTTTAAAAAAATAATAAACGGATTAATTAAAAAATATAAATATTTGGACATTAATTAAAATTTTAATAATTTTTTTTTACTTTTATTATTTAAGCAGACAACAGTTTTGTATTTATCTAAAAGTTACAGTACTTCTTTTAATTTTAAAAGAAACTTTCGGGAGATAAAAAGTTATATGGCCAAACTATTTTAATTAAATTATAAAAAACATACAAAATCTAATATGAAATAATAAGAATTAAAAAATATATAATTTTACTAGAATAAATTATTAAACATATTCTCTGCATGCCATTAGTTTAATATAATGACACTTTTATACAAAATAAAATTTGCAAAAATATTTTAATTAAAAAGAAAAGGAGAAAGAATCAACCCTGCCACTATTTTGTTTCCCCTAAAAAAATAATTAAAAAAAAATAAAGAGATCAAAACGTTGAACCACGTCTGCGTCTGCGCAATCGAAAATTGACTTCAATACATGAATAATTTGGAAAACAAATTTTCTTTGGTTCTATTTTTTATTGTAAAAGAGAAAAAAAATATAAAAGCAAAAACACAAAATGTTTGTTACCATGAAGAGACGCGAAGAAATTTCACCCTTGTCACTCACAAAAAATTATCTGTAATATATAAAAACTCAAGTAAAAGTAATGATTAAATGATCAAAAAATTTAATTGTACTATATCCTATCTGGCTTTAAGAATTCAGTCAATCAACAATTAAATTCTCCAGCAAAAGAAGGAAGGTGAATCGTGAAAGAGTATCACGGAATATGAAAATCAAGATTCAAGGGGAATAGTGAATAATTTGAACATTGAGAAGCAAAAACGAATAAAAAAATATAAGATCAATGTAAAATTAATTACTCTCATTACCTGAGTCAGTAATTTCACTGTCCGGCGAATCATACTCCGGTCCAGCTTCTCCACCTTCATTTCTATCAGTTTCCACGGTTTCCTTCTCCAATTTCTGTTCCTCGTGGAAGCTAGTCTCATTCTTCCTGGTGCCTTGGGTCTCCCTTTTCCTGTCCGCGACTCGTCGGAGCTCGTGAGTGACGTCAGCGATGGAGTGGTACTTCTGCATCTGAATGAGAGGGATCCAGTTGACGCGGCGGTGGTGGATGGCCGCGAAGGTGGCGTCATAATTATCGGGGGAGACATCGGCAAGTTGCGCGAGGTGGCTGCAGAGCGCGTCGATGATAGCGTTGGCAGCGGCAAACTCGCCGCGGAACCAGGCGAGTACGGCGTCCTTGGCGAAGTAGTCGGAGATGAGGAGCTGCGTCGGCATCATTGCCGGAGGATCGGTCCGCGATGCTGGGACAGCCGCCATACCAGAGGAAGATCGACGTAAAAGGAGAAAAAGAGAGACACTGAAGAGAGAGAGAGAGATGAATAAAAAGGGTTTTGTTTTGTTAGTTAGAGAGAATGGAGTGAGTTACATGAGATGTGATGCAGTGAAGAGAGGAGAAGGGGGTTTAGCTATAAAGAGGAGTGGGATTTATTGTCCCTCTTTTATTTATTTATTTTTTTTTTTCAATTCATAGCTCCCTTCCATGTAACGTGGCACCATCACACCCAACTCTTCATGTGTATGCCCAAAAATGTTACATAAAGGTTAAATCTATTAAAACATTAATTTTATATTATACTTAACACTCTTTAATTTTAATGCTATATTTTCATTCATTCTCCTTTTTTATTTTATATACATTATTTTAATTTCTTTTACATTAATTAATTAATTAATACATATTTACTTTCCATTTTTTATTTCTTTAATTAAAATTGATTTTTTTCGATATTTAATATAGTTTTATAATGCAAATATTTATCACGGATACTATAGAGACTAACCTCTAATTTTAATTAAAAAATATATTTCTATCTTTATTTTAATTTAATTGGTGATTTCGGGTTTGTAACGATCAAACTCAAAATAATAAAATCAAGATCCAGTTTATAAGACTAATGTGTATTTCTTGAGACTTTTTCACTTAAAGTTGATACTTACCTATTCATTTCGTGTTTTTATTAAAAAAAAAATCAAAATATACTTATATAAAAGGATTAAGAATCTTAATATAAACTAAAATTAATCAATAATTTTCTTCTTTGTATGGACAAAATTGTTGAAACATTAATATACATATATACATTTTTGTAATACATCTAATAGATTTCTTTTTATCACAAATTACAATTAATAAATCAAGCTTAAAATTGATTGGGAGGGAGTGAATCAATTTCGTAAATCAAGCTGATTTACGGAATCATGAATTAATTAAACATTAATCATATGGAGGGTGAATAAATTGGTAAAAAATAAATAAATTCAAAAACTGACAAATGAAAAGAAATAGAATAAAATTAAAATAAATATTTTGTTAAATTAATGATATCAATGTTTTTTACTTAATGTAGCAATACTTCCTATATTCAATTATATATATATTGGGTTCCAACCTTATTTATGAAAAAAAAAATGTTCAAGAGGAGAAATCTTATTGAATTTTATCAGTAAAAGTATCATGCATTATCTTCTTTTGAAGAAAGTGAATATGATTTCCACACCTTTTTTTTTTAATTTAAATGTTATTGAAACAATATTAAGGTGATATGTTAAAAAAAAATGTAAATGATTTTCTCCTACTCATTATTACATGTGTATGGAAATAACTATATATATTGTTCTCATCCATCCCTTAAGTAGGAGATGAAATGAGTTTATGAAAATCGAAAACTAGTTTATTCGTGATTATTTAATTAATCGTAGCATAGTCGATTATGCTAACGTTTGTATTTCTATCTTATTGAATTATGTGGAGTTTAATTTATTATGAATGTGACAATTACCATGTATCCACTATTAATAATTAAGAAAAGGAAAATTATATGTTAACAATTTAGTATATTTCACACTATCATTACCTGAAAATTAACCAACAATTTAGTTACTTTTTTTGTAATTATTAATTATCGATGAGTTAATTATTAATTATTAAAAATTATACATTATAAACAATAATTCACATTTATCATAGTTACTTTAATTTGCTCCAAGCCTTGATTTCCATTTCTATGGCATCTTTCTCTTATTTTTTTTATGGTAAAAAAAAACTAGAGAGCAATAAATATGATATTAACTGAGAATTTTTTTTACTTTAGATATAAATATAGTAAAGTTATTTTAATAGGTATAAATAACTAATAACAAATTATTTTTGTATGTTTTTTCATGTAATCACGATCATAAAGATTAATAAAATTAAGATTCATAAAACTTCGTCATGATTGGTAACAATGTATTACTTGTGCAAAATGTTTGGACAAATTATTTTTCGTGTTTATTTAGTGTGCATTGATGTGTATTGTTATATAATAAAAGTCTTTTGATTCTATAATTGCTTTATTCTCCGTGATCAAGAGATAATCGTTGAGGTCCAAAAATTACTCAATCGTGACAGAGTCACATGAAATTGGAACCGCTTAATTAGATTTTTCATCGTCAAACACGGTGGTTTGTTACAAGGTCTGGTCCCCAAAACGTAGGCAAAGAGATAGAGTTTTAATTTTGATTAAGATGTGTGCGAGGCTTTATGTATTATTTTATTTGGAATAATTTTATGGTATGAATTCATTTAGAATAGTTTATAGAAAAATAGTTTAACTATGTCTATAAATTACTTTTGTTTTTTCAATGAATTATTTAAAGTGGCATATTTTTATAAAATGATTCGTAAAAAGGAAAAATTAATGAAGCAGGAGTTTATGATAATTAGGAAGTTGTGAATGTGCAAAAAAAGGAAATGAAGGAATAAGTAAAAGTTTTAAAGGCCATTGTGTGGGACCTATCCCTAGGGAAGTAGGAGCATTGGGTCCATTGAACTCCACCAGAGAGGGAAGACGAAACAATGGGATGCACTGTTGGTAGGGCCCACTCAGAGCCTCTATGGTTGGTTCGGAAGCTCACTTGGGTGGGGCCCACAGCGTGAGGTCGTAACTCACAAGAAAACGCTTCCCTCGCAATTTCACAAACCACTGTCAACGTTTATCTGCCAAACGACGTCGCTTGAAACCAACCACTTTGTTCGGCTCGGCTCAAAGTCATTTTTGTTGGTATTAGTTTGTGGGAAAAGGTTATTATTCTCTTCGTGTTACGCTATTGCTACCATTTATGCGATCATCGCATAAAGAATATAAAAAGTATATTCTCTTCTTATTGCATAGTTGTTCCATTTACTCTACCCAAATCTAATAAAAAGTATTTTTTATAAAAGATTAAGTCTATCAAATTAAAATAATATTTTTATTATATTACTTATATTTGTAACTAAAATATATAAAAAATTATAATATTAATTAAAAAAAACTACTCAATAAAATTGACATGTAAGGCCACAAACTCTATTATATATTCCAACTCCTAATCATTGTATCCTTAATGTCAAATATCTTGTTACGTTAAATGTTTTTGTTACAATATTTAAATAAAAGATGTTTACAAAAGTGAAAACACAAACCTTAAATAACATTATTTAAAAATATCGATTTTAATTTTATATTTCAAGAGTAAAAAATAAACCTATCTCAACTTTGTGGAAATAAATTCATATTTACATAAAAAATTCTATCTTAAAAATATTATTGATTAGTATTTATATTTTTAAACTATAAATAAAATTTATAATTTAGATAAAATTTCTGTTAGCAATATATAATATATAAGGACCTCTTAATTTTGTATTATATTTAATATATATATATGTATATATATATATATATATATATTATTTTTTTAGTTGTTATTCATAATTTAATAAAATAATAATTACTAACAAAAAATATATTTTTTAAAAAGTTTGAATAAAAATATCTAGCACTCTTGATATATAATCTTAATTACACTTTATATCGTAATTGTAAAATAAAAAATGAAAAAATATTGAATTTAATTTAAAAAATATATTTATTTCTACTGTAGTTTAAATATACAAAACCACTTAATATATATTCAGAAAAATACACCAAACATATTGCTTTCTGATAATAATTTTTAAAAAAGAATCAAAAAATACTAATTCATATATACTTCGTACTGAGTTTTAAATAAAAAGAATAAAAAAGTATTTATTGGACTATTTAACTACAACCAGAAAGAAAATGAATATAAAAAAAAAAGTTTAAATTACGAGTCCATATAATACAGTTAAAGTAATGGAATAAAATAATAATAATAATCATAATAATAAAATGTATAATCTATAACAGAAAAAAAAAAGAATAAATAAAAATGAGATATTATAAAAATTAACATGAAAAAAATAAAAATATTAAGGGCAATTTCTCTTGATTTCGTTCACATCATAATAAACATTCGTGACATATGTTGGGGTGAAAGTAAAGCATGTATACTATGAGGGATCCATCGAGGTAGATATTGAAACTGAGTAATATTTTTCACACATAAATAAAAATAAGTTTACGATTCTAAATGGATTAAGAATAGAGACTAATAATAATTTAAATATATCTTTTTTTAATTTATCAAACATCTTTTAATAATAAAATCGTAAATAAAAATTTTAAATTAAACAATACCTAAAACATGAAATTAATCTAACGAAACATAAAACTCACTTAAACAAAATTTATATATATTTTTTCTTTAAATAATAATCTTTAATAATTTTTTAGATTTCATTATTAGTTTTTAATAACATTTTCTCATATTAATTTTAGATATTAATTTTTAATAAAATTTTCTCATAAATTTAGATAAAAAAATTGATTTATTTGTATTGTTTATTAAAATTAGATAAAATATTATTTTTAAACAAGTTAATTTAATCATAAGAATTAAATAAATTAACAAAAGTGTTTGAAAGTAATTTTTACATGTTCAAGAATAATTTATACTTTAAATAAATTTCTACACGTTATTATTAAATCTTAATTTAGTTTATTTATGATATAAAAAATATAATATAATTTTTATATGTAAAGATAAAATTACACTTTTTTATGATTATATGTAAGATTTTATTTATTTTAAATGAAGACAAATGTAATGAATAAATAGACAGAAAGATTTAAAAATAGATAAATGCTGGTGTTGTGGCAACTAGTTTGGGAACTTAGCATTGGAGACACAAAGCATCAAGTAGAGAACCCAAAGAGTAGCATCCAAGTTAGGTGGAAGCGAAGCGACCATTCACCCTTTATGGGATGAACATTGCAAGTGTCCCCAAAAGATGCCTTGTTAGTTAGTCACAACCATTCATGCATAAAGTCCCTTACTTTGCACCATACTTTCACTTCTAAAAGAATTTTCCACCCCAAACAACATGGTTGCCACCAGAAAAAAAGAACCTAAATAAAAGGTTACATGCACCAAAAGGTAAGAACTCGTTTTAGAATCCAATCATTATTTATCTCTTTCCAATATTTCACTATTTTCTTTTTCTAGCTAGTCAAGATTCTAAATTATGTGTAAGATAATAGAATCAGATTAATTCTTAACTTAAGTTTTAAAAATAAAAAACTAAAGGATCCAATATAATCCACTCTCTCCTTTCTACAATTTTTTCTACACTTTGATGCAAGAAAGAAACTGCTTTTCCAAATCCTTCACGGGAGCAACCTCTCTTGTGACCTTTCTTGTGAAAGAAACCTCTCGACAAAGTTTAATTGAATCCAGATGCATTCTGATGGTTTTTCACATGCTTAATCTAAAATTGGTCATCAATTGATTAATTAAGTTATTGTAATCTTAATATTTCAAATCCTTGTTATATAAAAATAATAACACACTTAATTTAATTTTATAAATATTACTATTTTTTATTAATGAATTTTTAATTGTCCATGCTTGGCTTTCTTTTCATCCAAACTTAACTCCATCCTTGGGTTGAATGCAATGCAAAGTCTCATTTTTCCTCTACAACAAATAGAGAGGGTGTGATTTATAAGAGCCATATACCAAATTTTGGGGTAATTTAATCTATTAACCTACCAATGTTTAAGAGAGGGAAAAAAAATTCTATCAGTATTACATGTCTAACTTAAAGTTAGTGTTCAAGCATTTCTTCGTACACACGAGGAAGGATGATGTAAAAATAATTTTTCAAATTTTAGGTTTTTAATAAATCCAATATAACGTATAAAGTTGATTTTTTTATTTGCCCTATCCTTAAAAGTGATATTTTTTTTATATCCTCTGGTTCTAAATCACTTTTCAACTTATATAAACAAATTGGTTTAACCAATTTAAAAAGTCTTTTCTCCGGTAGAGTCTCTTATATGCATGACAAAATTAAACTATTAAAATCCCTTATATTAAGATTAAAAAAAAAAAACATCAGACTTAAATGTAGACCAAATAAAAGTTTTTTTTTCTTTTTCTTTTCTATTTTATTGGGATGATTGGTGTTGTTACTTGGTGTCTAATAACCAGGGTAAAACAAGCACAGACTGCAAAACCATGTAGGTAGATGCAGGAATATTTAAGGATCCAAGCTCATGTCTCGATTACCAATAAAAAACATAGTGCAATGTGCCAAGCAGGGGAATTCTGTTGTTTAAGATTTTATAAAGGTGCTGTGAAGTGTTCAGATTTTCCAGGCTTCGTAGGGGCCATAGGCCCAAAATGATTATAGCATAGTTCGAGAGAAATTTGTACTAGACTTTCTAAATTGAGTGATATTGTCCTAAGGTTTCTCATATTCCATTAAGAGGGAGTGTCTTAGGATTGCTTGTCATGTCTGTTTTTATGTTTTTTAGTACCCATTTTTCACATGAAATTTAATATGAATGAAAAGAATCGTTGGGTTCGCATGGAAAAGAGATTGAATTAAATTTATCCCAAAGCAAATTAAAGACAAAAGGTAGAGAAATGAACATACCTGAATGCCACAAAAAAAATTACTAAAAAAATGTTCACATCAGCATGTGTAGAATTCGTACCAAATATACCATAACTCAAAAACAGATATTAATACAGTAATGTGAGGACTGAACACAAGAAACTATATAATCTTTTGAAAGCATTAAATCCAAATCAAGCTATCCAATTTCAATAAGATATGCACAGTAGAAGAAATTAAATATCTTCCTCCTGCAAACCCTAGTATATTCTTATTTTTTACACACTCCACCCAACAAACACATTGAATAACTTCTAGTCACAAAACACTATTTCGTAATGATCAAATTCTTTCTTTACCAGGTTCACCATCTCAACTCTTCGTATACCCTCTTTTCAATGAACTACTTATCCTTCCAACGCTTGACGTATTTGGCATCTTCTTAGCATTATCTGAAAAATGGTCTTTATGGTTTTCCATCCTGTTATTATTCCCACTAGCCTCAACTGGTGCGAAGTTGCTTTGCCCCCTACCCACGTTTGACACGGTTTTGATTCTGTACCGAGCACGTTCAATGTACTCAGAGAAAATGTCATTGATATCGAGAGTTTTCTTACCTTGTTGCATCCCAACACCGTGTTGTTCCTTCAAAGGGCCAGTGCTATCTTTGCCATTATTTTCACCTTTAGATACTCCAACTTGAGGGGAAGCAACTTTCGATACCATTGGAGTGGATATGGGGATTGAGTCATCAAACTTGATGGGGATTGTTCCTTCTGCTTGTGTATTCTTAGCCTTCATATTCTGAGGGAAATGAGTGGAGGGTGGTAATGATGGAGAATTTGCATGAGTGGTGACAGTCCTAGGTTCTCTGTAGTAGTATTTGATGCGATGAATGGCTTTGAAAGCAGGATTGGTTGTAAGTGCTTGACGGATTTTCCAGCATATAGAGGAGCGTGAGTTGCTGTTGTTTTCCATAGAAAGTTTGAAAGGGTATGGTAGACTCAAAATGGCTTAAACTCTAAACTCAATATTATTGGTTTTTTGCAACATATAATAGCTACTAAAGGCTTGTTATATAATACTGTTTATATTCGTGTGTGTGTCACTTTGAGTGGTGTGACACTGACTTGGACAACCAAAAATGAAATAGAAGACGTATCCTTTGAACATTTTAGAGCTGGAACCAACGTTTGAAGAAGCCATCTGGGTAGATTCCTAACAGCTATTACGGATAGAACTTCTTTTTTTTCTTGTTTTCTACGAGTGAGATTTCAGGGACCAATTCCTTCTAGTCTCTAACTACACTCAAAACTAGATTCACGTTATGACTTTGCACGTGTCGAGCAATTGTTGCCACATTTTGCCGATTAGTCCTTCAGGAAAAAAAGAGAAAAAGAAGCATGAGGGTTTACAAAGTGGCACTTGGTATCGGATTCAACAAAGACTTGTAAAATTGGAGAAATAAACATAGCTCACACTAAGCAATGCAAGAATCACATTCATAGATTAGTCAACTGAGTTTAACTATTGTTATTATTTTTTTGAAATAGACATACTTTATTAGAATAGAAGTCTATTTGATGCTTCTATTGACTTAATTTCATGTATATAATAATGTATTATATGTCAATTTATATATGAACAAAAAAAAAATCACATTTTGCAGCTTCCCAGGTTAACGTGGTTGCACTGGTTTTGAGAAGGAAATAATATTGGCTTTCTTGTGAAAAGAACTCAATTATTGAAACTAAACCTAGACCATCATAGTGTCCTGCACAACAAAATATCAAGACAAGGAATCCAAAATATTATAATGTTTAATTTTTCTTCTTTTGCTTTTGAATTATTATATGTTATTTTCTTGTTGTGAGTTATCTTTGCTATTCTTGATTGTTTTCATGCTGAGGTTATTCTTAGTTGTCAGGTGGTTATCTTTTATTTTATCAGTTTCATAAACAACAAGTGTCCAACTTAGGGTATCACAAATATAGGGTATCAAATGACATTTAGAGTAAAATAGATACATAAATTAATATAGATGTCAAATTTAAAATTTAGTTTAGATAAAATGAAAACGATATAATCAGAGAGATAAAAGAATAAAGACAAACGTATAGATATTGGAAAAATAAAAGCCAAGAATCATAAAGTAAAAAGAAGATCACACATTAATTTATACTAGTTCGAGTATAGTCAATTCCAGTACTCAATCACCTCTAACACAAGAATGACCCAAATTCACTATCTTTAAAATTCAGTTTACAAATTAAAATCAATTCAGCAGAGGAATCAGTAAAGAGTAAACTAATTAAAAAGACAATCACCTCCTTAGAATCCCAAAAAGGATAAACACCTCCCTAGAATCCCACTAGGGATGAACACCTCTTCTAAGCAAATCAAATGATGAAAAACACCTCATTTACAACCAACACACAAAGGATGAATACCCCCTAAAATCGGAGGAACACCTCCCCTAACAAATCAAAGGGATGAAAACACCTCCTTAGAATCTCATTAAGGATTAACACCTCCCTGAATAAATCAAAGGGATTAAAATACCTCCTTAGAATCTCACTAAGGATGAACACCTCCTTTGAACAAATCAAAGGATGAAAACACTTCCCTAAACAAATCATAGGGATGAGAGTAGAAACTCCAAACACAAACACACTGCTCAAGAAACGGTGCAACCACCTAAACCCTAAAAAGGAGATTTAACAGCAACCACTTAAACCTAAACAGGAAATTTAACATCAACTTCCTAAACCCTAAAAAGGATGAAGACAATAAAATAAGAACAGTCACATCTGGGTAATAGAGACAACAAATTGTAAAAGTCTGTAGAATGATAACTCTAAGAACACAGTGTGATTGACAATGAAAGCGCAGAAGACAATATGAAAAAGTTTTCTTAGAAAACCTAGAAATACTCTATTGTCTTGTTTATAATTCTTTTCTAAAAACTGATTGAATGTAAATTGAATTTTCAAATTCTGTAATTATGTGTTTTTTGTTTTTCATCAAAACTCATTTAAATAGGAAAATAACATAAAAAAACAAATCCAAAATAGTTGTTGCTCAGTAATAAATATTTAAAAAGAAATCAGGAAGTTCCCAACAACTATAATTCTTCCAAACAAAATTATTTTTCAAATTTCGAACTGCCATAATCGATTATCTTCCTAGCATAATTGATTATGACGGGGAAAAATCAATTTTTCAGTTTTGATGCATCATAATCAATTATTATACTTACATAATCGATTATGTCACTTATATAATCAATTATAACCATGTATTTCAAAACAAATGCTTCATTTGATGACATAATCGATTATGACACTAATATAATCAATTATGATACTTATACAATCGATTAAGACTGTGAAAAATGTCATATTAAGTTTATTTGCTGATATAATCGATTATGACTGTGTATTTCAAAACAAATGCTTCATTTGATGATATAATCAATTATGAACCTCACATAATCGATTATAATACTAATATAATCAATTATGATACTTATATAATCGATTAGGAGAGTGAAAAATGTCATATTAAGTTTATTTGTTGATATAATCGATTATGACCCTCATGTAATTGATTATGACGAGTGAAAAATGTTATGTTACGAAATTTTATCACACTTATGCTTTGGAGGCTTATGCGTAATATCACTTCATCAACTTGTATCTTCATATCTAGTATTCTAAGACTTTAACTAGTTTTCAGGCTTCATTTTGGGCTTGTTTGAGTCTTGTTTGAGTCTTAAATATTGTTTAACTTAAATCATCATCAAAATCATCTTTTGAAAATGTAGGAACATGTTTCACATTATCATCAATCTTTCCTTTTTTTATAATGATCAAGAAAATACCTAAAATAAATTAAAATACTTGACTCTATATTATCAAGTCAAGATTAGCTCATATTTGCAGGATATAGATTCTATTATTTATCTAATTTTATTCACGTGGAGATTAGTTGAAAGAATGATTGACTACCAAATAAAAATAACAGTGCTACCACTGTAAGATATTATGATAGCTTCTAACAATGGTTTTATAATTTTTTTTATAACACTATTTATATATTTAAGTTCTATGTAACAAACGAAAGAGAAAAAAAAAAAAAGTCAGGGACCTTGAGCAAAACCCAAACATAAAACAAAAAATTGCAATACTTGAGCCAGCCATATACATTGGATTAATTGTTTTGCTCACTATACATTAATATATATATATATATATATATATATATATATATATATATATATATATATATATATATATATACTATTTTATTATAGTGCTTAATGCTACCAATATATAGTTTCGAGTTCAATTTCAAATTCTTTAATGCATTGGGGAGAGTGAGAATATATCCTCTTGATAGCCACTAAGTTACAATTTTTGAGAACATATTTTATAAATTGTGCTTAATACACCATATCCAATTATATACTTCTCATTCGGATTCTTTTGTCATTCTCATCATATCTTCATACGCATGAGGTGTCATATTCGTACGAAGAATCGCTAGTTTTGAAGGTGAATAATTAATTATGAATTTCATAGTTCATATATTTAATAACTTATCAAATTATGTTTCAACAGTGAAACAAAATACTGTCAAATATAAATCTTACAAAATTCTACACAATTAAAACTAATCATATAAACTTAAATGCACTTAATTCCACAGTCTACTCAATTTCTAATTTTTCTATCAATGTGATTTAAGGTTTAGTACATAGTGACTAAAGGCAATTCAACTCTACAAAAACCCTGCTTTCACATTGAACCTGTGTAGGTTGAAGGCTACAACTTACATTGTAAGAATGAAACAAAGATAAGTATTTGGGTTGTCAAGTTATTCATCTGGAAAAGGACAAAGATTGTGTGGTCGGAAAGTTGCCAACAATACCATAAGAAGAATCACAAGACACCGAGGTTAATTTCAAAAATGATTGCTTTAGATAATGTAAATACATAATTAATAAAGTATTGATAAGTGATTAAAATGTTTATGCTTTCATACCAACTTACGTCATTTTCAGTGTATGTATTATTTGAATGATTTTATCATGTGTTATTTCTGATTTGGATCATATATTTGATTTTGTGTAAGTGTCTTTAGGTGTTAAAATTATAGTTTAGAGAGTGTTAATATCAGAAATGAAGAAAACAAACTAAAGAGTTCTATGAGTAGTGAATTTCTTTACAACCTATGAGTTTATTCTATGAGTGTCAAATTGAAACAAAAAAGTTTCATAAATGAGCTTTGAATTTCTCCACAACATTTGAATTTTTCCATAAGGAGTTATGAAATTGGCGTGACCACTCACTCAAGAACAGTAATCACCCACTTAAGAAGGGAACCCATAAAAATGCGGATAGTTTTTTTTTTTTTTTTTACATTAGACAAAATTAATTTTGCTTTTGGAGTATTGATGTAATACTTTGGATTATACTTTCTTAACTTTGATCATTGATGTTTAATTAATTTTATTTATATTAGTTTTTTATTTATGATTTGAATATTCTTTGTACGAGTAATTTCACAATTGAGATATTATTTGCTATTATAAATAGAAAATATTAGATTTTGTTAGAATAATTAGGCATATCTAATTAGTTTACTCTTCATGATTCTATTGACTTTTATAATTGACCCAAAGGATTTGGAGATTAAAATTCAATAAATAGGCTTACCTATTTAAAGAATTAAGGGTAAATAAGTTCTTAATAAACTCATGTGGATAATTACAATTCTTACTTTAATTGAAAAGGGTAGGAATATATAGAAAAAGATAGGAAAAATTTAAGTTTGAAACTAATTTTTTTTTAAATTTACTAATTAGATAAAAAAAACCTAGTTATTAATAATTTTTTATCAAATGTTTTTCTATTTTCTTCATATTTTTTATAACGACTATTAATATTTTTATAAATTTTATTAAAAAATATATA